ACTCGGCCGCAGCGCCGCCCGCCACCCTGGCTGGGCGCTGGGTGCTGCAGGAGGCGCTGAGCTCCATGTGTCCCCCGCAGGCCAGCGAGGATGGTGAGAGCATGGGCCACTGCCCCTTCTGCCAGCGCCTCTTCATGGTGCTGCTGCTCAAAGGGGTGCCCTTCACCCTCACCACCGTGGATACCAAGAGGTGAGTGGTACCTCGTCCTGGCCCGAGGCACAGGCACCCTGGCCCGTTCCGGGCTGGGACATGCCTGCCCTGGCACATACAGACCTGCTGGGGTACGTGTGTGGTGGGGGGCAGAAAGGTCCCCAACATCTTGGGGCTTGAAGGGTGGGCAGGGTGGGATGTCTAGAGGCTGCTATAGCCCCTGGTCACCACTGCTACCCTGAGGGCGGTTGTGGGCATTTCCCAGGGACAAGCTCTGGGAATCACCTCATCCCTTTCCCAGCACATGGGTCATCCGGGGCAGCTCATGCCATGCCCTCAGCAGAGCCCTGCTCTCCTCCAGCCATCCCCACCAAGCACGCAGCAGTGCCTGGGCTCAGGGAGCGCCCGTGTCTCCCCCAGGGCGCTGGACGTGCTGAAGGACTTCGCCCCGGGCGCCCAGCTGCCCGTGCTGCTCTACAACGGCGAGCCCAAGACCGACACTGGCAACATCGAGGACTTCCTGGAGGAGCAGCTGAGACCTCCTGCGTCAGTGGCTGGCGCTGCCCTGAGAGGGGCAAGGGAAAATGCTGAGAAACTGGGGGTGGAGAGAGGGAGCGCTGCAGCATCTGGGTCTGACAACAGCTGTGCCCGTCCCTGCAGGTTCCCCAGCCTCGTCCCACGCTACAAGGAGTCCAGGTTGGCTGGGAACGACATCTTCCACAAGTTCTCCACCTTCATCAAGAACCCGGTGCCTGCACAGGATGAGGGTGAGGAGCTGGGGGTGCTCCCTGCCGTGCCAAGCTGGCTCAGCCCATGCAGCCTTCCCGGTGCCACCACCCCAGAGCTCAGCCAGGGAACCCACGTGGCCTGTCACGGAGTCAGGGCTCCTTAGAATTCATGCCAAGGGCAGGGCAGAGCTGCTGGGCACGGTGCCAGCAGTGGGGCAGTGCCCTGACTCGGGTGGCTGGGCCCATCCCCGCGCAGTGCTGCAGCGGGGCCTGCTGAAGGCCCTCCTGAAGCTGGACGAGTACCTGAACACCCCCCTGGAGCGCGAGCCGACCTCCAGCCCGCGCCTGCCGGGCTCCCTGCGCCGCTTCCTGGACGGCGACCAGCTCACGTTAGCCGACTGCAACCTGCTGCCCAAGCTCAACATCGTGCAGGTGAGCGCGGGCACCCCGGCGCTGCGCCCTCCCGTGTGCTCCTTTTTCCCAGCACTGCCCCATGCCCTCCCCTCCACCCGAGCGCACCTCGCTCCTGCCCGCAGGTCGTGTGCCAGCATTACCGCCGCTTCGGGATCCCCAAGGACCTGCGGGGCATCTGGCGCTACCTCAACAACGCCAAGGAAACCAAGGAGTTCAAATACACGTGCCCCAACGACGAGGAGATCGTGCAGGCCTATCGCTCTGTGGTCCGGCCTCCGCAGTGAGCCGGGCGCAGGCCCGGGTGGGCACGGGGCCAGGGTCGGGCAGTAGGCAAGCGCCAGCCCCGGCCTGGCCGCCACCATCACAGTCCTTCCTGCAAACGCTCAGGAGGGCAGCGAGCTCGAGCTATGCCATGGGCACCCAAATTCCCCCAGCCAGCAGCCCTGCCCCAGGGGCTGGCATCACATTGCGTCGTAGCCAGCCCGACAGCGGGTTCTCCCTTCTCGTGTCCCGCTCCCCTCCTGGCCAGGCCCCCCTCAACCTGCCCTGCAAACTCCCGGCATCAGGATCGGTGCCAGGGAGCCTCAGCTGCGGACACCAGCACTACCGAAGGTGGGTAGTGCCCAGGGTAACAGCAAGAGCAGCTCCTCACGCTGGGAAGGAAAGGCTGCTCAGAGCAGAGGGCTACAGGGCCCCAGCGCGGCTCTGAGGGCAGCTCTCCCTCGGAGATGCTCCTCGCCACCATCAGCTCGGGCAACTCGGTGGCAGGAGTCAGCAGCCGTCATGGGATGCCAAGGAGGAGCCGCACCGGGCCAGTCACGCAGAGCCCCAGGGACAGTCGGGGATGCAGTGGGCAGTGGGCATGGCACTGTCCCAGGTCCCCAGGCCCTGCGGTAGCGCAGTGGAGAGAGCCACCCCCTAGACCCTGCCGTTAGGAAGCTCTTGGGAGCAGATCACGCCAAAGCCATGTATCACAGCACCTGGAAATCAATAAAAGCTTGGCAGCTGAGACATACGCGTCCTGGCACGACCAGCCCCAGCCCGCGGCAGCTCTCCTCCCACAAAGCAGGTGGGCACCAGCGTCCAGCAAGGGTTGGGTCCACACTCCCAACTCTCCATGCGGTCGGAAGATTTAAACATTCACCCACCCCCTGCTGGCATGAAACTGGCACTTCTCTGAGCCCTTGACCCTTCACATTTAGTCAAGATTGTCCCTAGGGTTGCAAAGCAATGAAAGGGAAGGCTGGACTGACACACAAATGCACTGACCCACAGACCACTTGGGCTAAAAGCAGTTTTATTGGCAGTAAGTTAAACATAGCCAGTCTTTTAATTGCATCATGATATAAAAGCTCCTTAAAAAAACACCAATTCATGCCAAGCGAGGCACACAGCTGGCCCTGCCAGCAGGGAAAGCAGTAGCAGAAAATACCCACCCCTACTGTCACATCCCCCCCAAAAAGGTCCTTCCAGAAGGCCAGCCATGGATCTGCTCCTCCAAGAGACCTGCCAGGAGCCAGTCCCAGGCCCCACTCGCTTCATCTCTTTGGATGATCATTAGGGAAGAGAATCCCTCGCACCCTGTAGTGAGAGGCCCAGCAGGTCCAGGGTGTAGTAAAACGGCTACAAGTCTCAGATGTTGCTCAAAACCCTCCCTATAGGACAGCTGTAAGGGGGATGGGACTGCACAGGTCAGGAGTCTTCAAAGTCCACTCCACCTGGTGTCTTCTTGCTAGAAAGGCACAGAGGGAGAGTCACAGGCTGCGGTGCACAAAACCCAACCCGAAGCCACGTACCCTGCTCCCATGCAGACATCGAGCAGGAAATTGTGCAGTCCAGCCCTCGCGCCAGGCCTTGGAGCAGCACTTACGTTTTGAAACCAGGATTGATGAGAGACTCTCCTGGGATCCTCCTCTTGGCTGGCAAAGTGGAGCCAGCACCTCTGGGCTTCCTGGACCTCGGATCTGCTTCAGCCAGAGAAATAGAGAATGAGGAAGGCAGGACGTACTGCTCAGCTGGTTGCTCTAATAATGCTTTAATGCTCAAGTCCAGCATGTGCCTCCAGCTGCCTGGTTTAGCTACTCGTGGTGGACAAAGAAGGGTCAGGCCTTCTCTCCTCTTGCAAAGGGCCAGGATCCGGCACAGCCTCTAATTTGGATCAGCAGCGAGGTCTGAACTCTTGGAGGTCAGTGAGGAACCCTGCCTGGTGACGCCAAGCATCTGACCTGAGCACAGCACACCCCAGGGACCCCAAGAGCCACTGCACTGAGCCCTAGCCCCTTCTGTGCCACCAGACTACAGCCACAGCAAAAGGGATTCAGAGTGCCCTGGAGACCACATGGGCAGGGTGGCCATCAGCCTCCTAGGAAACAGAGGGAAAACGAGCCGTGGGACCATGTTCTGGGGATGCTCACTGGCAGTTGCCCACCTGGCATGAAAAGTTGCTGGCTCCGGGCAGCATTCTTCTCAGGGCTGCAGGAAGACCCCAGAGTGCCCCCCACTGCAGAGGGGAGAGCCAGAGTCAGAGCAATGCACACCCAACACAGCATGCAGCACCCTAGGCTTCCCCAGCAATCTCCCCTGAACACATGAGCCCTTGGTCAAAACAAGTTGCCTTTTCTTTCCAGCACTTCTACCCAGGTCTCTATTGACAGGGGTCTTCTTAGAGCTCTATGTGACTTCTATAAGGGCAACCTCCAGGCACAAAGAGATCATGGTGTGGTGTCAGCCATGGGGACATGGTTGCGTTTCTGCAAATAGGTGCAATGCTTTCCTCTGATTACACAAAGACCTCTGTTGCCCAATAGGGTCAGAAGACCCTGGCCAGCTTTGAGAACAGGCTAGTCCAAAAGGGACAGAAGCAGCAACTCTGCTGCCCAACCCAAACCACCTGCTTCCTGTCTTGCCAGCCCACCCAGAGCCCTGGGCAGAAATCATATAGAATCATAGAAGCGTTAAGGTTGGAAGGGACCTCTAGAGGTCATCTGGTCCAACCCCCCTGCACACGCAGGGTCACCTAGAGCATGGGATGACTCAAGGAGAACGCCAGCCTCTTAACTGCTACCCCACATGGCTCTCAGAGCTGGTCAGCTTGGTGCAGCTTTGGCAGAGGGAACTGATATCTTAAAGGTAACTGGTAGCTTCCCACCCCTTTCCTGACCTAATCATGCTCCAAAACCACACACAGACCTTCAAGACGTTTCTCCAGGTTCTTGACGCAACCCACCAAGCTGAACATCAGTTCCTGGAGCTGGATCTTCGCCTCAGTGACAGGCAACTTGCTGAGCTCCAAAGTGCAGCACCAGGCCTCCTCCTGGAGCTGCAGCGTTGCCTTGCCATCATCGTGCAGGCTCAAGGAGGCCACCCCATGCTCCAAGGCCTTCCTGTGCAGGCAGGAGAGCAGGGTGAGGACAGGGTCCCAAGTGCCTCCACAGAGGAGCGTGGGTTCCCACAGCAGGCGCTGAGGCCGGAGCACCCACCTGATCTTCGTGCCGTGCTGCTCTGACAGCCAGGACGTGCTCTGGGATGTCTGAAAAGAGAGGGCAAGGCCTGCAAGGCAGGGGGCTCCCCCACCTCCCTTCCCTGGGGGTGCTCACAGGTCCCCACTGCCTTCCCACCCTACCAGGGGCATCACCACCTCCCCGGCCCCCAACCCGCTTTCCAGGCCCCCAACCAGGCCCTTCCTCACCTCCCAACCCACCGCTCCATCCTCCACTCGGGGCCTTTCCCGAATCCCTGGCCCCATCCTGCCTCCCCGGCCTCCTCCCGGCTCCCACCCCGCTCCTTCCCCTCATCCCCGCTCT